TATAGGGCCTATGGAAGCCAATAAATTATGCTTGATTCTCTAATTTCTCACCATACTGGAATGCAGTTAAGTTAGCCATCATATAGGGCCCGTAAACTGCATAAGCCAAATGTTCAATTTACTTTATTTAACATTCATTGCATTATCCAATCTTGGTTAAGTTGGTTCACCAACAAAAGGGCAAACGACAAAACCGTGCCTGACTAAACCGCGGTGACAAAACCGTGTTTTCTAAAGCGCTCCAACGAATGAGCGCTGAATCGCGCCGACAACAGCGCAGTGACAGAAGCGTGCTGTAAAACAGCACGTCGACAGAAAGCCGATTTAACTTAAGGTTAGGGTTAGGTTTAGGGTTAGGTTTAGGGTTATGTTTAGGGTTAGTTTTAGGGTTAGGTTTAGGATTACGTTTAGGGTTAGGGGTTAGGTTTAGGTTTAGGGTTAAGTTTAGTTTTACAGCACGCTTCTGTCACTGCGCTGTTGTCGGCGCGATTCAGCGCTCATTCGTTGGAGCGCTTTAGAAAACACGGTTTTGTCACCGCGGTTTAGTCAGGCGCGGTTTTGTCATTTGCCCTTTTGTCGGTGAACTCATGAAATCGAGTTTGACGCCCCTGCTCTAGGGCTTCTGATGGTACATGCTAGAAATTGTGGCCCTAACATATCTGAAGGGCATCTAATCCAACAACATCTCTGAGGCCGTAGCAAAAAACTCTATCCCAACCTGATCAAGGAGCATAGCAAGGCAAATCAAGACATGATTTTTGGTCCCCAAAATAGGAAATCCTTTCAGCGTCTTTCCCTACATATGGCAGGAAAAGAATTCAGTAATATCGAATTAAATCATAATCTATTTCCCTTTCTTGACCTCCAAAATCATCAGCTCAAGGCAGTTGCCTCACTCTGCCAATGACAAGGCTCTCGTGTGAAGCCATTTTAAGTGCTTTGAGAACACAGATAAGTAAGATCATTGCCTCAAGAATGATTTGTGACTGACTGACACAGGCATCGCAAAAAAAAGTTGGTTGCATTCCAACCTAGGTCATCGCTCCTTATTACCTTGATGACATGGTCCACTGGGGCTTCAATGAGCCAGTGGCATTTTGTGCCGCTGGGATATAGATCAGGGTAATTAGCCGTGTCAATCTTTCCTTCTTCCACCAGCATTGCAACACTGCCACAGCCAGAGCCTAGGACATTGGAGCAAGAGAGGCGGCAGCAAATAAGCAGAGATGCTATGCATCAACTGCACCTTATTAACTGGTGAATCAACATTAAGATCTTTTTTCCACCCGAATATACTTAAAATATGCAAATAGAGGCAGCGTGTCAACTTGTTTTTTTTTTTTTCAGAATAAGTAGAGACGAAGAAGCTGCCTGTTCCCCAACTGTCCTCCACAGAGAGGTTCAGAGGCAAAGGTGAAATTACCTGCTTCAGATGCTGGATGCACAGCACTGAAGGTGAATTCAAAGCCTCTGCCACCAATGCTGCCATCCGACACAAATATAACAATGGCTTGGTCCGACTCTATCAGCAAGGGGGAAGGCAGGACATCACCACAGATTTTGCCTGTTAGGAAAGAGCAAAGTCAAGATGAACCCTGAGGGAACCACATGCATCCTACTGACCCACTCTTTGTGGGTCTTTAAGGACTACGGAAGATGCAACTGGAATAGCTCAAGGATAGGATTCTTGGGTCCAGGCAATTCTTTCCCCAGAGCCCTCTGCAAGGCACCAATTCATCTATCTCAGGGGTGTCAAACTCGATTTCATTGAGGGCCACATCAGGGTTATGTTTGACCTTGGAGGGCTGGGATGGGCGTGGCCAGAGTGGGCATGGCCAGCTCAATGTCATTCGTGTCAGGGCACCTGTGGCAGCCCGAGTGCTCTGCCAGAAAAAATGGGCTCCCAAGCTCTGTTTTCTGCTGCGACGGCCTCCTGCAACCCTCTGCCAGTAAAAACGGAGT